ACACTTAAGGTTCGGTGACGCTAGGGTTGTAGAGATATAATATGTAGTAATCCGAAAGTTGTTCGGAGTCCCGGATGTCACGAGGAGTTCCGGAATGGTCCGGAGGTGAAGAATTATATATAGGAAGTGCAGTTTCGGCCATCGGGAGAGTTTCGGGGGTCACCAGTATTGTACCGGGACCATTGGAAGGGTCCCGGGGGTCCACCGGGTGGGGCCACCCATCCCGGAGGGCCCCATGGGCCAAAGTGGGGAGGGGAACCAGCCCATAGTGGGCTGGTGCGCCCCCCTTGGCCCACCCCATGCGCCTAGGGTTGGGAACCCTAGGGTGGGGGCGCCCCACCTGGCTTGGGGGGCACTCCACCCCTTGGCCGCCGCCCCCCTAGGAGATCCCATCTCCTCGGGTCGGTGCACCCCCTAGGGGGCCTATATAAAGGGGGGAGGGGGCAGCCGCACCCTTGAGTCTTGGCGCCTCCCTCTCCCCTGCTACACCTCTCCCTCTCGTAGTAGAACGGTGAAGCCCTGCTGCGGTGACCCCTGCATCCACCACCACGCCGTCGTGCTGCTGGATCTTCATCAACCTGTCCTTCCCCTTGCTGGATCAAGAAGGAGGAGACGTCACGCTGACCGTACGTGTGTTGAACGCGGAGGTGCCATCCGTTCTGCGCTAGGATCTCCGGTGATTTGGATCACGTCGAGTACGACTTCCTCATCCCCGTTCTTTGAACGCTTCCGCGCGTGATCTACAAAGGTATGTAGATGCAATCTGATCACTCGTTGCTAGATGAACTCATAGATGGATCTTGGTGAAACCATAGGAAAATTTTTGTTTTCTGCAACGTTACCCAACAGGTACAATACCGGTGACCCTCGAAAGTTTCCCGGTGGCCGAAACTGGACTTCCTATATACAATTCTTCACCTCCGGACCATTCCGGAACTCCTCGTGACGTCTGGGATCTCATCCAGGACTCCGAACAACTTTCGGGTTACTGCATACTAATATATCAACAACCCTAGCGTCACCGAACCTTAAGTGTGTAGACCCTACGGGTTCGGGAGACACGCAGACATGACCGAGACGACTCTCCGGTCAATAACCAACAGCGGGATCTGGATACCCATGTTGGCTCCCACATGCTCCTCGATGATCTCATCAGATTAACCACGATGTCGAGGATTCAATCAATCCCGTATACAATTCCCTTTGTCAATCGGTACGTTACTCGCCCGAGACTCGATCGTCGGTATCCCAATACCTCGTTCAATCTCGTTACCGGCAAGTCACTTTACTCGTATCGTAATGCATGATCCCGTGATCAACCACTTGGTCACATTGAGCTCATTATGATGATGCATTACCGAGTGGGCCCAGAGATACCTCTCCGTCATACGGAGTGACAAATCCCAGTCTCGATTCGTGCCAACCCAACAGACACTTTCGGAGATACCCGTAGTGCACCTTTATAGTCACCCAGTTATGTTGTGACGTTTGGCACACCCAAAGCACTCCTACGGTATCCGGGAGTTGCACAATCTCATGGTCTAAGGAAATGATACTTGACATTCGGTAAAGCTCTAGCAAACGAACTACACGATCTTTGAGCTATGCTTAGGATTGGGTCTTGTCCATCACATCATTCTCCTAATGATGTGATCCCGTTATCAATGACATCTAATGTCCATAGTCAGGAAACCATGACTATATTTTGATCAACGAGCTAGTCAACTAGAGGCTCATTAGGGACGTGTTGTGCTCTATGTATTCACACATGCATTACGATTTCCGGATAACACAATTATAGCATGAACAATAGACAATTATCATGAACAAGGAAATATAATAATAACCATTTTATTATTGCCTCTAGGGCATATTTCCAATAGAAGGAAGTAGGAGTCCCACTTCATACTTTCCTTTTCCTCCTCTCCTTTCCCTTTCTCTCCACGTGGTTGGTGTGTTCCTTTACTTGGCCCATTAAGCCCATATCTTTGCCGGGGGTTGTCCGGAACCCCTTCCGGTGACCCTGTATCACCCGGAACACTTTCAGTGTCCAAATACCATCGTCCTATATATGAATATTTACCTCTCTACCATTTAGAGACTCCTCGTCATGTCCGTGATCTCATCCAGGACTCCGAACAAACTTCGGTCATCAAATCACATAACTCATACAAATCGTCATCGAACGTTAAGCGTGCGGACCCTATGGGTTCGAGAACTATGTAGACATGACCGAGACACATCTCCAGTAAATAACCAAATAGTGGAACCTGGATGCTCATATTGGCTCCTACATATTCTACGAAGATCTTTAGCGGTCAAACCGCATAACAACATACGTTGTTCCCTTTGTCATCGGTATGTTACTTTCCCGAGATTCAATCGTCGGTATCATCATACCTAGTTCAATCTCGTTAGCGGCAAGTCTCTTTACTCATTCCGTAATGCATCATCCCGTGACTAACTCATTAGTCACATTGCTTGCAAGGCTTATAGTGATGTGCATTACCGAGAGGGCTCAGAGATACCTCTCCGATACACGGAGTGACAAATTCTAATCTCGATCTATGCCAACCCAACAAACACCTTCGGAGACATCTATAGAGCATCTTTATAATCACCCAGTTATGTTGTGACGTTTGATAGCACACAAGGTGTTCCTCGGGTATTCGGGAGTTGCATAATCTCATAGTCAGAGCAACATGTATAAGTCATGATGAAAGCAATAGCAATAAAACTAAACAACCATTATGCTAAGCAAACAGATGGGTCTTGTCCATCACATCATTCTCTAATGATGTGATCCTGTTCATCAAATGACAACACATGTCTATGGTCAGGAAACATAACCATGTCTGATTAACGAGCTAGTCAAGTAGAGGCATACTAGGGACACTCTGGTTTGTCTATGTATTCACGCATGTACTAAGTTTCCGGTTAATACAATTCTGACATGAATAATAAACATTTACCATGATATAAGGAAATATAAATAACAACTTTATTATTGCCTCTAGGGCATATTTCCTTGAGGACCTCGGTCTCCCTGGCCTGGAGTTCCTTCTCAAAGGCGTTCAGCTCCGCCTTCCGGCGGGACATCTTCTCCTCTTTCTCCTTATGGTCGCGAGCTTGGTTCGCCACACTTCACTCATACTCAACCACCTTCAGGCGGACCTCGTCCTCACGGCTCTTCACCGCCGTGAGCTTCACCTGAACCTCCTCCAGCATATCTTGGTGTTGGAGTGCCGCCACGCGCTCCCTTTGACTGCACTCCGCAGACACCTGGCGGAACTTGGCGCCCAGAAGCTCAAGGTGTCGACGCTCCAAGTTGATGGCCTCGACACCACGGTCGAACTCGGCTTGCATGGCGTCAATGGCCTGCTTCAAGATCTCCGCCGCGGTGCCCTCTAGCCGGAAGGCACCTCGGCGGCCATGGATTCGGACGGTCCAAGCATCCTTGCCCATAACGTCATCGAGAAAGCTCCCCACGTCGAAGAGAGCGTTAAGATCAGGATCAGCGCCAGCCTGACCCCTCGTCGGTGTGCTAGCGCCCGGTGCCGGCGGCTGGCGGGGAGGGGCCGGCCCGACGCTAGGGGTGCCATCAGTCGCACCGACAGAAGAGGCGCCGGCGGCCCGGGTTTTCACCTCGGGCGTCTCCACAGTCTCCTCCTCCTCATCGTCATCGACCATGATAGGGCAAGCATCGGTGCCACCCTGGTGGCGCGGGCCTGCACCCGCCGAGGGCGGCGCCGTGGATTCCCCTTCAGGCCTCGCCGGGCCCCCTCCTTGAGCATGGCCCAGGCCCTCGCGAGTATTTTCCTCGGGTGGAATGACCTCCTCGGCCCCCGGTGTGGGGGCTGCACCTGGTGAGGCGGGCCCTGCACCACCATTCGCCCCCTCACCGGTCGTCGCAGGCGGCAACTCTTGTGGTACCCACCTGTCCTCCGGCATCACCGGGGTGGCCTCCGGAAGAAGAGGGTCCCTTGCGGGACCGGCGGCATCAGTGCCTCCTACGAGCTCGGGGGCTGGCGGCACCTCGCTCGGCCTCGGGCCCCTGGCAGCCCTACGAAAAGCATGACTAGCGTCAGGAAAATCCAAGAAGTCAAGATCTAGGGAGGCCGCATATAAAACTCACCGTGGAGAGAAGATCAAAGCCCTTGGCCGCCTTTTCTCCTTGAGGGGGTTGGTGGTCGAGCCCCCTGCTCCGGAGCTCTCTGCGGAGGGCCCGGCCTTGCTGCCCCGAAGCAGCCTCTTCAGCTTCGGGGGCTCGCTTTGAGCGTCAGCCCCGCCCTCATCCATAGACTGCGCCGGGCGAGAGGGGCCAACCTGGAAGTCGTCAGTTGTCTCCTCATCGGAGGAGATCGTCATGGGCCGGCGCCGCTTCTGGCGCGGCCCCTCGGACCCACCGCATCAGAGAAAGAAATTCCTGAAGAGGAACATGAAAGTCTATGAAATGTAGGATCTTAGCAACTCCTTCCCCTAGCCGCATGGTCTGCTACTCGTGAATGATGGAAGCAACCACCTACCATGAAGGCCTGATGGACCATTGGCCTCGCTCAAGTACGCCACGCGGAAGTCCCACTCCAGTTTGTAAGGACACTTATGTGCAAAGTGATCGGATTTCCATTTATACATGCTTACAAAATACCCAGTGATCAATAAGTACAATACATAAGCTATACCTTATGGATCGTGTAGTACCAGGAAAATGTAAGTTATCCGAATAATCCACAAGTATAGAGTACATTTGTATCCTGTATTCACACCAATTCAGTAGACACATACACCATCCATCAGATGTACATTTATGCACAAGACGTAAACCACACACCAATATATCATCTCTAGATAGCTCACATACTAAATCACCTGGAATAAAAACAACACGGTGCAAACAAAGTTAAACGGCAAACTACTATGGAAATACAATGTATCTTTGGCTACCCAGTATAAATCTTCAGTTGTGTGTTTGCCCCCACATTCTTGAACGAAATGATTCTCTAGGGTGCAGGTGTAAACTGCATGCAAATTGGTGGTTTAATCTTGGCAATGGCAAGTATGGAAGAAGGGAATGTCCATATTCCATCCCCACATATCAAACCGGATGCAACCGCAGGGACCATGAAACCAGCCTCCTTTTTGTTTATCTTGTTCCAGACAAAAACCACCAAACTTCCGACGCACATATCAATTGCGAAGCTCCCGCCGACAAGGAATGGGACTGCCATGGCCATGGGTATGGGCACATACTTGCTATATCTGTGTGGCATGACATCTCTTGCGATGCTGAGGAGTGCTGCAAATGCGAAGAATCCACCAGAGAGTGCTAGACAATACTTCGGCAACACCAAGAACCCCTCCACACCAAGTATTGCCATATTACGGTATATCAATGCATACGGCGCCTTCCAATAACCATCTGGGTTGCCAATATCAAATGCCTTGTAGAAGAGCATGAACGTAAGGGGAGCAAGGATGCAGCCCATGACCGTACCAATGGCCTGTGCCACCATCATGGATCTTGGTGATGTCTTTGTTAGATAACCCGTCTTGAAGTCATGCATCAGATCTGCAGATATAAGAACCAACTTCTTCACACATGTACCAGTAACAAGGCCTGCAACGACACCATTGTCCCTGCCAGCCCAACCTGCAAAGACGAAGAGTCCAATCTTCCCATAGTTATACCCCATGTTGATATCAGTAAGCCCTGTGCCGTAAGAGTTGGCGAATCCAAGCATGGGGGCTACGACATAGGCTATAACTATGTAGTACCATTTCACTTGTCGAAACATTATTGGCGTGGTAATCGCTGCAACGACGCTTAACACGGCATACCCAGAGTATGCCATCCAAGCGGGGAGATGGCCTCTCTTGAAGACCTCATCGCGCTGCATATCCTCGAGTGAGACCGTATTGTCCATATTTTTCGCTGTAATTCATCCAGTCAACATTAGAACAACATAATTGATTCTAAAATGGAAAATGTCGAAGAACAAATGTACTGGATTTATGTTGTCCTGCTGTCCTCACCTCTATTATTGATATACTTACGGCTAAATTGTCGATACATGCCCTTAAAAGTGATGCTAATAATTTTGATGAATTGGTAGAGTCCATCCCCCAAGATAAGAGCGATACATATGAAGGCCTGGATGGTGAAGAAAATTGTTACTAATGAAGATAAACTATGACTGCTGTTGCTATTAATTAACGGAAAATGCCACCAAGGAAAAGGATTATGCTACAATTAATAAGTACCTTGTAGCCGTACAAACTTTTCATGCTGCTCTCTTTTACAGTTGCAGGGTACCAATCACCCTTGTTTTTACTGATGAGTGGGTACAATATTCCATATGAAAGAATTACACCTAGGAGGGTGGAAACATTTACTATATGTGGGCAAATCATCCCAGCGCCGACGTATGTCATGCTGAAGTCAAAGAAAAATCTGACAAAACAAAACGTGGCGAACTAATTAAGAAAGTCTGCTGCACACCACGAATCTGACAAAACATAGCGTAATGGCGATCGACAATGAGGAGCAGAATTGCGAAAAGGATTTTACGTCTGCTTCCAGGCCTTGAGACCAAAAGTAGGGAACTGAACAAACCCACAAGCATCGCCGCCGGTGTAGAACCACTGGAAGAAACTCCATATGAAGCTACCCCCAAAGTATTTCAGAAACCCACGTATTTGCTTCCTATCATGGATGTAAAGGAAAGATTAATTCATTTGTATAAAATCAAGTAGTCACTCCATATTGTCCAATTTAATGTCTGAAAGAACAACGCGACGGGCATAACTCCTCAGGTCAGAATATACAAATATACATACTTTGAATTCTTGTCTCCCTGGGTGGTATGGAAGCCGTTTATAAGAACTGCAGTTGCCGTCCCACTAGGGTAAGTTAATTTATAGTCGACGACCAATACCTGAAAACATGCATGATGTTTCATATTTAGTGACAAAGACCGATGAACCGCCCGGGCACAATTCTATAATATGGCGTTGCTAGTTCTTGGTTGTTTTTCCCTTTTCTTTTTGAGGAATTAGAGCAGCAGAGGTTCCAACTCTATTTTTTGCTTGCTCGCTTGTTATTGTTTTTATTTCATTCATCTAATTTTTTGTGTACGTTAATCCTAGCAACGGAGTACACGTGCACAAACAGGAGGATAAAGAAGCTAGCGAGAGGCAACCGAGCAGCAAACTAGAGTTAAGCACACTCAAATCTGTTATGCATTCAATTTAAAAAAGAAGCGGAACCTGTCTAAGGGGAATCAAGGTGAGGAGTCCACCGAAGCAGCAAGAAAAGAGGAATGCCGTCATCCAGCCAATCCCTGGCTCCTTGCAGCTCCCCGGCCCGTTGGCCACCGAGTCGCCGGCGAGCTCGTACGTCTTTTTGTTTAGACCCAGCAAGGTTGACCCGAACCCACCTGCAATGCATCACTCAAATAGCCAATCAGGTAGTGCAAAGCTAGTAACTGATACTGGTAGGAAGACATGGCAGGATATGCATGGCCCTAACCGGCGAAAGCGATGGTGTAGCAGGCCACGCCGCATGTCTGGACGATGGTGTTCTCCTGTGGGGTGAAGGGTCGTGACACGATGCCGAAGCGGTCCAGCAAGCTGGTCCAGCCACGGAGCGCGAGGAAGGAGAGCAGCGCGGCGGAGACATTGAGCGTGGGCACTAGTCCGGTGGTGAGCGACATCCTCATGACGATGACGGTGTAGATGCACCCGATGAGCAGCGCTGCCACCATGCCGCGCACCGTCAGATCGTCCTGCCACCGCCCCACGGGCTCCAGCTCGTGCTCGCGCGGCCCCGCGGCGAGCGCGGGATCTGATGACTCCATGTCGCCTTCCGCGGCCTCGTGTTTCTCCATCTCCGGCGCGACGACGTCCATGCCCACTCTCTGCTCCTTGCCTCTGCATGCAGGAAGAAAAATGATACTGCCTCCAGTCCGATTTAAGTGTCGTTTTTTTTAGCAAAAGAGGGTTTCCCCTCCGATTTCCATTAGAGAAACCAGGTCGAAGCCGAGCAGTAGTCTAGTAGTTCGATACAAGTTCGGGCTCAAATAAGAAACATAAAGCAGAGCAGGGGCTTAGCTAGCCTAGCGACCCTGCGATAACAAATCCCAAAGCTACATTACAACTCCAAAACATAATGAAGAAGGCAAAGGACGCAAAGTAACAGTAGACAAGCTCTAACGATTTAAGTGTCGTAGAAACAACAATTGGTCAGTACAAATTCCTACTAAGCTGGCGACACGAATTTCGGATTGGAGGGAGTTCAAAAAAACGTTTCTTAAGAATGACCCAATTTGGAGCATTTCAATTTCAGCGCGGCAGAAGAATTTAACATGCAAGATCGCTTACCTCAACGAGATAAGAAGAAACCACACCGCTCGGCCGACTAGCTGGTTTCCGGGGAAGTCACGCCCTGATTCGTGACAATCCAAGCTGGGGATGAGATCCTGATGTTAGTGATTGCCGATGGTATGGTTTTATGTAGGGAATCATTGGGAAAAGTCCACTCTCTTGTTTTTTTTCCTATATCTAGCTGTTTCCTATATTTTTCTTGTGTGTTGAAGTATTTGATTCTATTGGCAGGAGAAGGCTACCGCCCAAGTAGAGATGAACCCAAATTCTTTAACATCTGGTTGCATCCCAATCTTATTATTTTTTCGTTGTTAATGATGTACTAGTATCCAGAAAGAAGCTGGTTGCCATTTCCATTGGCTATGACTATGAGTAGTTTGACTATGAATTTCTCAAATAAAGAAAGAAATATGGCAGAAAGACTAGCGGTGGCGGCAGTCGATCTGGGCCACGCTAACGGTTGTTGGGACTTGGGACAGAGAATAATGTGCCCTGTTAATAGCACTAGGGGGACAATAATGTGATGATTAAATAACATTGTACAACTCGTATATATTTTAGGGAGTCAACGAGAGAGAAATGTTCCTTCCACAGCTTGGAATTGGTAAGGTACGTGCTTTGCCGGGATAAGAGCATCTCTAGCCCACACCGCATTCCGCCAGCCCGCAAACCTACGATGAGGGGCGCGACAAACAGGTTTGCAGGTCTATTTTTGCTCGCGGCAAAACAGACACCACAATGCCGAACTGCAAAACAGAATTGCACAATTCAAAAGAAATTCTGACAATTAACAAGAATAGTTCGGCATTGCGGTGTTTGTTCTGCTGCAGGCAAGAATGGACCTGCAAACCGCAAAAACAGAATTGCACAATTCAAAAGAAATTCCGACAATTAACAAGAATAGTTCGGAAATTCAACATATATAGTTCTCACATAAAAATAACAAATAATATAGTTTTAAGCATCTAGGGAACCGAATTGAACATTTTTGCATCAAAACAACAACAATAAAGTGGTGAAACCTTGATGAACAACCATCAAGCACCATCAACACCACCAGCACCAACACCACCGTTGGAAGCCATCCTTCTTCGCTCCAAGATCCCCTTTCTCATCAAATCATGCCACTCCAAGGTTAGCGCATCCATCTCATTACGGTTCATGGTCATGATTTTGTTCTCCTGGCAATGAGCTTGGCAAGAGCCTTGGTTTCCTCGGCTTGGGCTCTTTTCTCCTCAATTGCGGCCTTGCGCAACCTATCCGCCTCTTCCACTGCTGCCTTGCACAACTTCTCCTCCTTGATTAGGTTCACTTCTCCTCTTTCTCTTGAGACCTCTTCATTGCCAACTCTTTTTTTTTTGCTTCTATAGTCATGGTAACCATCAACTCATTTGAGTGCACCATATGATCTATCTTGTCTCTCAAACTTGATGCGTCGGACTCCTTCTTCATATTCTCCTTGGCCTTCTTGTTGCCATCCGGCCTAACCTTGTTTCTCCCTCCTTCATCATCTTCTTCATCATCCTACAAGGTGAAGGTACCTCTCTTCGGTGGTGCTTCTTTATCCCTCACCTTCCATTTCTCGCTTTTCTTAAGCAATGCTCAACAATGCTCGAATGCAAAGGGCTTGCCCCTGGATGCCGGCATGTTCCTATACCTCGCGGCTGCAATTTTATCCTACAACCAAAGCAACTATGTCAAAGCACTATCATTTGCAAACATCGTCACCAATATGATTAAGGAAAAAGCACTCACCCAATCGGCTTCATTAGTGCCACCTGGAGGTGCATTGTACACTTGCTCCAAGCATCCACACCACCAGCTAACCGCCGCCTTGATCACATCCCAACCTCCTTGGAGTGGTCTATAGGTGCGTGGTGTCAGCTCAACATTCCTTGGCATCAACCGGAAGAACTTGTCTTCTATCCTTTGCCAATACCTCTTCCCGGTTTGGTCGGTGCCGTGGATGGCATCGAGGGAGACGGCCTCCCAAGCTCGGATCAGCACCTCATCCTCTATTTGGGTATAGCTCTTCGACCTTTTGCTATATGTTGCCGTTTGCGATGCCTCGAAGACCTCCCCTTCAATCTCTTGCAACTCATCCTCTTCATCGCCGCCACCGTGTACCCCGCCGTCCATCTTGTCGTATACATAATCTTCGAGGGGTGCATTCTCAATGTTCACTGCGTTTACCTCAAGGAGAGCCGCATAGTCGGAGCTACAAAGAGTCACATAGTCCCCAAATTATTGAGCTAAAACCCGAATGGCGACAATCAAAACTGGTGGGGGCGGACGTACCTTGCGGGCATTTCATCGAACACCGGTGGGGCGGCGACAGGGGGCGAGCGTAGAACTCGCAGGGGCCTTCTTGGTTGCAGGCGCCCGCTTGCGTTTTGCCACGACGTTCCTCACAGGCTGCGCCGGCTCGGTATCACCAATGTTACCGACGACGGTAGGGCGAGCGGCAGCGCGAGCTGTAGTGCGAGCACCCCTCTTCGGGGCGGCTATGGTGGCGGCGGGAGCGGGCGTGCCTCCCTGCACGATGACGTTGCTCAGCCGCTTGCGAGGAACAACGCCGGAGGAAGCTTCGGACACGCCCACAGCATCACTAGTGGGGAGATCCACCGCGGCGCCGCCCGCCGTCGATTTGGCTAACCCTACTTCCACAATGATGAGCGTGGAGTCGGGGGTGTCCATGGCCTCACTGGAGGCCGCGGTGAGGTCTGTCGGAGCGGGGAGGTGAAGATTTGCGCCCGCGGCGGAGGGGGAAAGCCGGAACTGCCACGGTGAAATGTCCCTCCCGCCAAATCGATCTAGGGATAGAGGGCGCCTTCGGGCCGACCACGCAAATGCCTTTTTGACAGTTCCGGAGGGGGAAATTGCCGCGCCCCTCAAAATTTTTTGCAAGCCGGTCACTTTTACAGTATCTGGTCTGGCAGCGTTTTTTCGGCCCGAAACAGCAAAACGGCAGTTATTTTACAGTTTTGCCGGAAATGCGGTGTCTGCTAGAGATGCTCTAAGATAGAGGAGAACAGTACGCCTAACTCAAGCCGCTTTGCCCTGCTTTGCAACAATGATTGTGGCAAGAAGTACAGTTGTATTGTAGTTGACTTTAGACACAGGTGACAAGAAACACAGTTTCTTTCAGTTTGAGCAGCAAGGGCCCTTTGTTTAGAATTGACGTAAACAGCCGTGGAGAGAGAGAATAGTGATAGTGTGTAAGAAATTCGTATAATATATCGTTGGGTGCAAGGGGGCACGTTATATTTGATTACTCGGGATGGCTGTAAGCCACCTAAATGGGCCTGTGTTGACGATACTATTTCTACATTTAGAAATAATTTCAGTTTATATATAGTATAGTACAGTGGTGGAGCAAGGATTGGAGGGGCAAAAATGTTAGGTCAAAAAAAAACTACCAAAGAAAAGCTGTTGTAATGGCATAGAAAGCTCGGTTGTAGGAGCTTATTAGGTTTGAGATTTGCATTTCTTATTTGCTTCAGTGTTGAGATTATTAATAGATAAAATATATTCATCTTTAGACCTAAAATGTGAAATCAGTGGCAAACAATTGGTAAACCATATAGTCAGTTGTTCTTCCTATTTTGTTCCTAAAACAAAACATTACCAGGTTGGCTAGTCGAGGAGAGCTGCAGAAGCGCCGATGAGCAATCAGGGCCAGGAGTTCTTCTCCGACCAGCGGCAATCAAGATCCGACATTTGGTGGTCTCTTCTGCAGTTTTCTCTTCAGTAGCAAGAATTTATGCAGTTGGCCGATTTGATGGTCTCCTGCTTCCATACAACTCCGACAACGAGGAGTAATCAGCAGCAGGAGTGGTTCTCCGACCAGCAGAAATCGGGCGGCGCCAGGTCGCCGGCCGACGGTCCCGCGAGGCGGAGGACTGGAACCTCTGGAGACTGGAGGAGGCGACCTGGGCCCGGGGGCGGCGGTGCGCCCCTGCCGCAACGGCCAAGCGATGCATCGAGCGAGCAGAGGGGGGCAGCGAGCGACGGGACACAGTCCCAACCCTGGTCCTCGCTCTCATGTTCTCCTGGGCGAGCGAGTTGCATTGGGCTGACCAAAACTTGCGCTGCATCCCGGGTCAATATTTTTCCACGTAGAAGATGGGCCGGAGTTTTCGTTGCAATCCGGGCCATGGCCCTAGTTGCCGGGGACCCCAGATCAGCCCCTGGTCTAGCTAAGAGCAACTCTAGCAGATCCCGCATCCTCCCGGCCCGCAAAACGTGTTTGCAGTTCGCGCAAAAACGCCTTCCTGGAAGTAGAGCTATCATTTCTGTTGATATGAGGAGCAGGAGGGAGACGGTATATGAGATCAAGGTGTAGGGTATATATTGTACAACTATCTTTCCCCTTATGACTATCTGGCCTCACACCTTTCCCACTTTGAATGATGAGGTTGATCACAGTGAGTGACCTCGGATAATTTGCCCCTTCGCCTTGATATGGCCCATCTCTGCAGTTTCTTCACTCGCTATGACTTTTGTAGTTGCGCTTTTTTGCCTCTATGACAAGACATTGGGATTGCATGCGAAATATTAAAACTTGAGCATTTATGATATGATTAGTTGTCCCTTTCTTTGTTTGTGTATAGTATTCCCTTCGTTTTTATTTAGTCTGCATATTAGATTTGGTCAAAGTCAAGCTTTATAAACTCTGACAAAGTTTATAAACAAAAATATTAACATATACAATAAACAATTAATACTATTAGATTTATTATTGAATGTACTTTCACATCATATAGATTTGAATGATAAGTGTTTATATTTTCTTCTATAAACTTGATTAAACTTTATGGAGTTTGACTTTAGTCAACTATAATGCAGAGTAAATAAAAACGAAGGGAGCACCTTGTAATGCTTTTATTTGGTTATTGGACTACTTGACCTCGCATAGCTCTTCAAGCGGATTGGGCACTTAGCGAGCTTACACAGTGCCAAAGTGAAATAGTAAAAAACAGACTTCTCCGAGCGATAAACCATGTGAACTGCATGTGTTGTTCCGCTTTGCACACAATTAATTGTATCTTGGCAGCTACGTTATGAGCTAGAATTCGTCCGTGCTTGCCAATCGAGATGCATGTTTTTGTTTGTTGATGATAATGAACGATGCAACACTTGCGACCTGAAAGAATTAACGTTTTGGGTTTGCACCCAATATATTTCATACTTTGTCCGAAAGCCGGGAGTCGTTCTTGGTATGTGCTCCAGTGCAATCACATGCTCGTTGTGTGTCATGGCGTTTTTAGTAGATTGGATATAAGGGCGGACTGCGATGACTAAATGCATGGTGTTTTTGGGCCCAATTGGGGCATGTTTTGAGATTGTGAGTGTCTTGTCGTACAGGTGGAGGGTGTTGGCGCTGGGGAACAATTCTATTTGTCTCATCTACACTAGCTAGATTAACCACCTAGCTAGAACCTGTGATGCCTTTATATGAGACAATATATATATATTCCCTACAAGTTAGCACTGGCTAGCTGCTTTGGTTGGCAATCTTGATCCCCCAGCTCACGTCCTCACAGTGCCGCACATACGGCACCACCTTCCCCACATCCACGTCCCTCCTCGCCGTGCAGTCATAGTAGGACGGTGAGTGGAAGCACGGCTCGACGGACATCGCTCGCACACACGGTGGTTCCGGTACCTCCTTTTTCTCAGCCAAGTCGGACTCGGACCAGATGGGTGTGCTGGGCATGATCCACGGTCGTATCCCGCCAAGCCCCTGCGCGACGTACCCGAACGTCGAGAAGCCGGTGGTGACGAGCACGTCGCAGGTGCTGAGCAGGTACATCTCACTCAGCGCCCTCCTGTCGTGGGACGTGTCCCCCCACTTCTGCCGCCCCTCGTGACTCGGCTGGTGCACGCCGCCGGCGACCCTGCCTCCGCCGTACTCCTCCCTGATCCTCTCGTAGTACCACGAGCTCAAGGAAGTGACCAGGATAGCCTGGTCGGATGCGTTGATCTTGGACGACGACGTGATCTCCGGGAGAAGCTTCTCCCTGCGGACGCACGAGAGGACCTGGTCCAGTATGTGTTGTAGCGGCGTCGGCTTCTTCTGGAACACCCGGATCTGTATGCCGACACGCTGGCCAACGCCTGCGAGGTTGGTGCGGTAGTAACTGGTGACTGCGCGCCAGACGTCGTTAACCGGGTGGAACAAGTACCGTCCGAGGTGGTAGAACGCCATGTCCTTCTCCGGGAACATCCTGCCCAACTCGTCCTGGAACGACGGGACGAGGAAGAGCCCCGGGACGAGGTAGCTATCCGTCTTCATCAGCAACCACGGCGCGCCGTGGAGGAGCAGCTGATGCTCGTCGCAGTAGAAGAGCTTGTCGTGGAAGTCGTAGCCGCCCTCGAGGTGCAGGTAGACGAACGGCGGCCGGCGATCACCGCCGTCCGACCACGACGCGTTCCCGTGGGCACCCACGGAGATGACGTTGGCTTTTAGCATGTTGCCGAGGCTCTCGTTGGAGCCGATGCCGTAGTCCCTGAGGTGCCCCAAAGGGAAACTCCTGCCAGAGGGTAGCAGCCACGTCGTCCCAGGGAAGGGCTCGCAGAAGAGGGCGCTGATGTCCTGCTTGTACTGGTGGACGAGGAGGACACGGTCCGTGAGCACGGCGTAGAGGAAGGCCGAAGCGGTGGCGAGCATTCGGTTGCCGAGGCCGCGGTAGCTAATGGAAATGAGGTAGCGGCAGTCCGTGGCGGCAGCGCCCTTACCGGACTTGAGCTGCCGGACCGCCGCCCTATACGGGGCTGTGCCAGGGCCGCACCGCTTCTGTAGGGCTTCGTGCCTCCGGAGCCTGCCAAGTAAGTAGGGGGATGGTTTATGCGATGCGTTCTTCTTCTTCTCGTGGTAGCTGGCGAACTCGTACCGGCTCCGGCACGACCGCTTGCTGAATTCTGCGGTGAGCAGGCCGTCGAGGAGCTGGTCGGCGGTGAGGTCAGATGGAGGTGCGTCTAGAGATAAAGAGACATTTTATTAGCAAACCCGTGGTCGAAATTTCAACATTTTATTACCACCACATGGCATAGGTGTTGCTCTACATGAGCTTTTGATTTACTCCCTCCGATCAGAAATATTTGTCGGAGAAATGAATAAAATAAATGTATCTAAAATTAAAATATTTTTAGATATTTTGATTTCTTCGACAAGTATTTTCGGACAAAGAAAGTATGATTTTGATAATTACCCTGATAGGAGAAATTAGACTATATCCCATGAAAGGGATTCCTAGTCCAGCCTGTTTTATAGTTTAGGTGAAAGAGAATACGGTGGACTTGGGAGTACATGCTCAATTAATTAGCTACCGAGTCTCCACTGTCCAGTGGCACATGGTAAATTGTGACTTTGACGTGCGTCCACTACTATCACTATAATGGTATAGTATAGGCACTTGACCCAAGGAAGAGAAAAAGAATGAATTCAGCAACTCGATGGAACTCCAATCATAGCGCTCTACACTCTAAGTTTCTTTAGAGATTTAATATAAATTATATACAAAGCAAAACAAGCTTAACTTATATTCTAAAATACGTTTATATACATATATCCGTATGTAGCCTATACAAAAATCTCTGAAAAAAATTTAGAAACGGAGGGAGTACCTTGCAGGAAGGACCAGGGCGAGTCGGCGGAGAAGACGACGACTGCGAGCACCGTCGCGGCCAGGACGCAGACGGCTGGCACGAAGCTCTTTGGGCGGCTTGGAAGCCGCCGCGGCCGCCTCTTGGCGGTCTCCAGGTCGGCCAGCGACGAGGACGACGACGGCGCCGGGTCCCTTGCGGCGTCGGTGCTGCTTCTCTCGACTTCCATGCTCGCTTCCGGCCTTGGTCGCCTCGCGGACTTGCGTGGATAGAATAACGAAGGGAGGGAAACAAATGTGCGGGAGCTCCACCGCGGCTGTGTGCATATTTGTGGGAAGAGGTGCAGCTGACCAGTCAGTCACAAGACCTAGTATTGGGTTTTGTTTTCTGTTTTCTTCTTTTTTAGGGGAGAAGACCTACGGTTTTGGACTGGGTAGGTCAATGATTCCAATCGGGCAGCCGATAGCGACCATGAGATGCGCAACCAGGCCTGTAGCGATGCGATGCGTGCCTTCGTGGGCATGCATGGACGACTTCGCCTGCCTTATCCTATTCCACATCCCATCCGTGTTGTCATCCACACGTCTCCTGAGCTTGGGAGTTTAGTACAAGGTGATCACCATAGTATATTTTATTTACAAGGGCCGGTGTGAGCTACTCTCTGGTTGTGGCTCACATGAACTAAGGTTTCTTGGAAATTAGTTACGATTTGAATTCAAAGATGAGTTCCTCCCAACCACCCACGCATCTATCTATCTGATTACAAGCCGGCCTCAGCCGCCCAATTCCTAGGCAAGAGAGAAGGAAATCAGGGAACGGCTACAAGTAGTAGCAGTACACGAGGTTAACGGGCCAGTTTGGACTTGCAAGCCACCGGAGAAGTTTCTTGGGCCTGTCGACTTGCAGTGGTGGAGCCAGCAAATATGCATTAGGGAGGCCAGGTGCTGCTAAAACTGGTTGGGGAGGGCTTTTCCCAGTCCGGCCCCGCATGGCGACCAGGGGGGAAAACCTAATCCACCGTCACCAGCTCCCCCGGCCCTTCTCCCCTCCTCCCTCATCGCTGCCACGGGGCCGGACTGGGAAGGGGGGGGGGGGGTCTGCATAGGATTTCGGTGTTGAGCATATTTTGTCTTTGCTATCTCAATATAAGCCATACCTAGTGAAAACAACCATAAATTAGCAATGCTTGCAACAAACATGCAGGTTCATCATATTGTGATCTACAAACCAATTTCATAGAAGTTGATTAGCTATGTTGGTTTACAAGCTAGAACAAAAAATTGCTAACCAACAATGGATGGGTGTTTTGACTCACCAACATTTAGATTTGTACTTTTTTTGGCACTTGGAGGCAAAAACAAAATTACAGTCCAGAAGCATCTTTATTGCATTATAGATGCTACAAAACTAATAAACACTAATGTGCTAACTAAGAAACACTAATGTGCTATCGTGAAAACATATCTAAACCTAGATGGAAGCAACAAGATTTTGAAATCAAGTCGAACACTCGCATTACCGCCAATATTGGGAATTTTCAATCCCATCAGATTATTGTGATATGCACAAAAAATTAACCAAAATTTGTAGATGACACAACGCTCCATTACACATCAGATATAACATATATACGCTCAGCAAAATTCATCGAAGCAAACACTACATCTAAAAGTAACACAAAACAAAACAATTGATTAAAAATGAATCAAAGAAGAGATGAACCATAGTTCGGGTGAGTACAAACCAGGGGGTGACGCCTGTGATGCATGTGTAGCTTCTTTGCCGCCTCAAAACGGTGCATCAACACAAGAAGGGGATTGTGATGGGTATGGCCTGGTGGGCGATCGAGGCGGCGATGGGGGTTACCAGTCCAGTGATAAGAGCAATGCTTGGTGCAGTAGACAGGGGGTCGGACGCAGCAGTGACGCCCGAGTAATGGTAACCGTGGTGGAGCTGATGGTGCGGACGTAGCCGTCGTGGTGTGTGAGCTCGGCGAGCTCAGGAATGGGCTCACCCGTGCGTTGGGAGGCGGGAGGTGGGTCGGGGAGGCAAGATTTACTCACGATGGATAGAGCAACACGTGAGATTTCAACGAGAGTTACTAGGAAAGGATTAAGTCATGCGATTAATTGACGGATAGAAAATCATATATATTTTTTCTTTTTGTGAGAGGCACGGCCTACCTCTCGCATAAGCACATCTGTGCATCCACGAGAAGTAATTCCGTCCCTCTCTTGGCAAGAAAAAAGAAAATGCATTTATATACTCCCTTCATTTCTAAATATATAAGTCTTTTTAAAGATTTCGTTATGGACTACGGAGCAATATGAGTGAATCTACATTCTAAAATCCATCTATATCGTAGGGAAAACGTTTGTCTATATACAGTCGTATGTAGTCCAAATTAAAATCTTTAAAAGAACTTATATTTAGTAATGGAGTACATACTCCCGGCGGATGCTTGTACACGACGATCTTGAATTCTTCATGTGCCCAGGCAAACCCTTTCCTGGTGTTCCAGCTCCAGAGCAGCCGGGTGGTGGAAGCCCTGTCGGGGCGGATCGAGCTGCCTTCACCGAAGGAGATGATGTAAACTTCATTACTCAACCTGGTTGCATCGTAGTTCGAGTACAAGGACTGGCCGGCGGAGCGGTGCTGGCGGGAGAGGATCGAGGAGTGGAGGAAGGCGATCCACGTCGCGGCGAGAGGCAGGGTGTGGCGAGCTACCGGGACGAGCACTGCTGGTGCTGAACCAAGCGCACCATGATCTCACCAAGTACCTCTGATATTTACTCCCTCCATTCCTAGATTCATTTGTTTTGCTCCCCATGTAGTCCATTTAGTGCTGGATTGCGCTTCGTTTCTTCATAGTACGCACTACATGCGCACGTTGCATGTGCCCGTGATGAAGTGCAAAAGAAAGCAGAATTCATGTGACATACAGAGAGAAGACGTCATAATAATTAAGAAAAAGAAAAAGAATGCACCAGCCGAGAATCGAACCCGGGTCTGTACCGTGGCAGGGTACTATTCTACCACTAGACCACTGGTGCTGCTATGTGCCATTTCTTTAGACAGTATAATAATCGCAGACCTAGGCCAATGGTGCTTCTGTGATGTAATTATTTTATCAGTATAGGTAGACCATGTAAGAACATACTCTATGATGCAATGAAGAGTTATGGATTTTGCAGCTCCTAGCTAGAAATGGGGGCGGAACTCCGGCCTGTCTGTCCATGCGCTCGTCTACTATCTTAATTCAACCATCCCTGGCATCATTGTCCAAGATTTCAAGTCTCAATACCTCGTGTAAGCGAACCTTTCTTTGAAATCGACCGGTTTTCATTTCTTTTGATGGATGCTAAAATTATCAAAGAATCTCCATAAAAGGAGGCAAACCTGAGTGGCCTTATAAAATATGTGTACCCTGAATCTGTACTCCATAATGTTACTTACTTGAAGTTTCTCTTGTCTGCACTTCTGAATAAATATAATATGTAAGTTGTGGGCTCTCTGGCTTTGTAGGCATCTCTGTTACAGGGACGCATTAGATAATTAGTTCTATATATGATATTGTCATTATTTGTCTGCCAAATAACTGAGCTGTTGCAGACAGTCTTTATATTGCCGCTGACATAGACAGCCTTTGCCCAATTAACCAATATAGGCAGATTTGTCTATTATGCGGGCACCACTATTTATTTTGTAACTTCTTGGCACAATGTGCTCCTGTCTGAAGCTTGATTTCTGTAAGAACTCATTTTGCTTACTTCCTACTACTTTCCCAGTGTCACATGTTATGCCAATGACTAAATATGATTATACTCTTGGGAACTGATCTGCAAAAACCACGTTGTAGAGTGAAGTCCATGCTTTGACATTTACTGATCTATTACAAGAATTGGGTGGAAACTCACACATGCAGCATAGTTAGGCGACTCAAATACAAATGGGTGATGACAAGTGAGATCACATTCTAGTTGACAACTTTAAGCCTTTGCCGGTTTCAGGTTAGTCCCTACATCAGCAGAATGAGGCTTGGACTTTCAGATATTGGAATCCTGCTAATGTCATTACAAACTCTGTGATTTACTATCTAGTTGCCTTTCAGATCAAGCAAGTCCTCTGTGCAATCCAGATATGTATCCGAGAAAACCGGTGTATCTTCTATGGCGCGACGAAACGACGTTCCAAGCGCGATCTGACTTCGATCCCTATTTCTTTCACAGGTGTAACTTTTACGGAGGGGTTTTAGCAGAAATACTAGTACGTTCCAAGCGCGGCCTTGAGCGGATCGTAGGAGACGCTAATGTATAGGCTGAAACATCTCTAGTACTACTGTGGATGATGGAATGAAGATTATGTTCCTTGGACAGAAGCAGATGTTGTCACATGAGTTCTATGTGCAAGAATTACATAGTATCTAGGCACAGAGGAACCAGATCATCAAAGATTATGAACTGACACATACTAGTAAGCTGGTGGTGGGCCCCAAACCGGGCAAAACACAGAAGGAAAGAGAGTAAAGTTTCAACTAGAACAGAAGGGAAAATAAGAGAACAGTGAGCAGAGCAAAATCTGTTCTTGAATTGCCCTCATCATTGCAGAAGTTCATTCCGCATTGTGCTTACCAAAATTGTCGGAGGACACCATCGAGAACGTTGTTTGTTAGCCAAGGAGACACCAACCAGTATCTCAGCCAAATCAAAAGAATCCTCTAAAAGAAGCTAAATCGAAAGAAAAGGAAATTATGTGAAAGCACAGCACACATAAGAAACAAGTAAACCCGCTGTCGTCGTTCAATAATATTACAAATTAGCAAAAAAAAACTAAATATGATAGAACCAAACATTAGATACTATAAAAAAACTCAATCATCAAGAGTCACATTATTGGAAGCAGGCTGTGAGATATAACCAAAATGAAGAGTTAGGAATCCCAACACAAACTTGAGAGAACAGTTTAACAAATGAATCATTCTGATGAAACTCAAAATTTTCTGAATTTGATTTGTGGGACCCTCCTCAGAAGAGGAAAGACCCTTTAAAAATTAGCGTATGCTGTTTACTGTGGCATGCACACGGTATTCTTTAGTAAAAGGCGAAAGAATAGTTCGCTTTGTGCTCACCACGCAGCTGCGTCCCTTTCACAGTCTGCCCTGCCTGCTCTCTTATACTCTCGCTGGCCACCCATTCTCCCACGACTAGCGATGTGGACTAAAAAGAGCGCTCCTACAGCCTCCCCTCCCCCTGGCAGGCAGCTGGAGTCGATGCCTCAGCAATTGCCAGGCCCAATACTGGATGAGCCTGGGCCTGGCCCTGATTCA